TCCATTTTCCTTCCTCTCCTATTTTCACCCCTCCCATTTTCCTTCCCGTCCCATCCTCTCTTTTTTCCTTCCATCATCATCTTACATTTTCACCCCTTCCATTTTCCTTCTCCTCCCTTTCATCCCTCCCATTTTCCTTCCTCTCCTGTTTTCACCCCTCCCATTTTCCTTCCTCTCCCTTCCTTTACCCCTCCTATTTTCCTTCCTCTCTCCTTCACCCCTTCCATTTTTCTTCCCCTCCTGTCCTTCTCTCCCTTTTTCCTTCTATCTTCTTCCATTTTCACCCCTCCCATTTTCCTTCCCCTCCCTTCTTTTACCCCTTCCATTTTCCTTCCTCTCCCTTCCTTCACCCCTCCCATTTTCCTTCCTCTCCCTTCCTTCACCTCTCCCATTTTCCTTCCTCTCCCTTCCTTCACCCCTCCCTTCTTTTCCCCCTTCCATTTTCCTTCCTCTCCCTTCACCCCTCCCATTTTCCTTCCTCTCCCTTCCTTCACCCCTTCCATTTTCCTTTTGTGTTCACCCCTCCCATTTTCCTCCCTCTCCTATTTTCACCCCTCCTGTTTTCCTTCCTCTCCTCATTTCACCCCTCCCATTTTCCTTCTCCCACCTTCCTTCACTCCTCCCATTTTCCTTCCTCTCTTATTTTCACCCCTCCCATTTTCCTTCCTCTCCCTTCTTTTGTCCCTCCCATTTTTCTTCCTCTCCCTTCCTTCACTCTTTACATTTTCCTTCTTTCTTTTCCCATTTTCTTTTCTCTCCCTTATTGTACTTCTCCCATTTTCCTTCCCCTCCCTTCCTTCACCCCTCTCATTTTCCTTCCTCTCCCTTCTCTTCTTTTCTTCTCAATTCCCATCCTTTTTCTTTGAGTTTCATTCTCTTCCTTCCCTGCCCTCCTGGTGGCTCTAGGGCCCTGGCTCTGACTTCATATCAAACCATTTCTCTCTTCTTCCCCCCCCCCATTTCCAGGAACCTTGGTCTCCAGCCACCCTTCTTGCCCTCTGTGGCCCTCTCTTCCCATTGGGAGGGGTAATGTGTCTCTCCCTCCACTGCTTGGCCCATATCCTTTTGCTGCTCTTGGCTCTCAGTAGCTAAGAAGGCTCCTTCCTCAGCATCCTGGGCCACAACACACACATTGCCTCCTGCTTTTGCCAGTGAAGCTGGCTGAGGAACTGGAAAATCTACTGTAGAAAAGGATTTCTTTCACTTTTGCCCCAAGTGGGATTAGGTATCAGTAGCATTCTGCTTGGGGATTGGGCTTCAGGTCTTTTTTCCCCACCCCCTTCCTTTGGGGCCTCCCAAATAGAGAGGTATTTGGACCCTCCCGTTCATCCAAGGGAAACTGCCATGTGGCATTTCATAGGTCGAGTTTTTCTTTAAACTAGCCATGGGCAGCTCCACCCATCAAAATAACTAAAACCCAGTCTGTGCTAGGCTGATCGTTTTCTGACTGAAATTTGGCCCTCAGTTAACTCAGTGGGACTTTTTTTTCCTAATGAAAAATTGAGTTAACAAGGCATAGGTCTAACAAAGTTTCAGCTATCTTGGGTTAATGCTAGTATAAGTTTACCATTCTCCATTGTCGTTAATGGTGCTTCCATTTGCTACCACCCTCACAAACCATTTCTTCTATTCTTCTTGCCTAGTATAATTTCTGCCTCCAAGAGATGATCCAGATCCGAAACATAAACCAGACTGACATGTATTCCATGTGGAAAATTTTACTGAATTTTTCTTTCCTTTGTTTGCTATTTCAAGAGATAAATGAATGAGTTGGCATCAGGGGTTCAGAGCATCACAGGTGTAGAGCTGTATGGAACCTAAGACGTTATCTAGTTAGCCTAACCCTTTCATTTTAAAAATGAGGAAACTGAGGCCCAGGGAGCTACGGTCACACAAGGAGTAATGGGAAAAGGCAGGGCTCCAACCCAGATCCCCAGACTCAAGATCCAGTGCCATGGTGCTTCATTGCCTCATATAAATAGCTCTTAATAGCCTTAATTAGCATGATAGCAGCAATGAAGAAGGAATCATTTTCATTTCCTTTCTTTAAGCAAGATATCTTTTATACTTTGCTTGTGAGTAAGAGTCCAGTCTCTATGCACTCTACTGACATGCCTTTCAAATTTGTAGGTTAAAACAAAGCTGGAAGCTCCCCCCCCCAAAAAAAAAGATTCAGGGGGGTGGTGAGGTGTGGATTTTAAACCCCTTCATGGTTTACAGGTCTATCTTCCTGTGAATTTATCCTATAAAAGAAACATAAAGTTTTGTAGTCTGCTTTTTGACCCATAATCTTCATAATCCTCAAACCTGTATGGTTCATATGCCTCAGATTTCATAGGCTTATTCAGCACAAACACGGTTTTAAAGGATTAGCCCCCAAACTCCCTTTTATGCAAAATCAGAACTACTAGAAAATTTGGATAATTGGAGCTTTTTCTCTGCATTCTCTTCTTTATGAAAGAGAAATAGAGTAATAAAGTAATATCAGGGATTTACTCTGGAGAGACCTTTCTTGAGTATGTTTTAGGTCCACTGTATGCTTTTCTATCAACTGTGTCTGTAGCAACTGTGGTACAGTGGAAAGAGCTCTGACTCTGGGCCGGAGTCCAAACACTAGGGCTCAAATTTGGTCACTATCTTTCTGACCTTGGGCCAGTCCTTTCTCTTCCCTAGGCTTCAGTTTCCCCCTCTGTAAAATGAGGTTGGACTAGATGACCTCTGAGGTCCCTTTCAGTTCTAGATCGAGGAGCATATGTGTGACCTTGGACAAGTCTCTTTCCTTTCCTGGGCCTCAGTTTCCTCCTTTGTAAAATGAGAAAGCTGGAGTAGGTGGCTTCTTGGGTCCCATCTAAGATCCTATGAAATGATTCTTGGTGTTTATTTCTATATTGCTCTGGAGGTGCATTTGGAATCATGAGAATGACAGCTGTGTTTAGTATAGTTCAGCATCAGTTGTATTTTGCTATATCCTAATTCTTTGACAAATGATATTATACTTAAATATGGGAACTCTGTTAATCAGAATATTCAATTAGCCAGAAGTTTGTTTCCCCAAGCATTATTGTTAAATGCTGTATGTACCAAGCAAGCAGTCTGTTTTGGCCATTATGTTGTTTGTGAGAAATTGCTTGACATTGTGAAAGTTATCTTAAAATTAAGCAGGCTTTTCTGCCTTGGTTAATTTATTAAGAACATCTCTTCTGTACTGGTCTAAAACTGGTCCTAGGATGGTAGATGCTGGCTAGGGATAGGTTGTGAAATTAACAGTTGGTCTAGTGGGTGATGTGGATGAATCACTTTGCTAATAAGGGAAGAAGGGGAGCTTTTGAAAGGATTTTTCCCTTTCAAATCTGGGATTTCTTGATCATTTCAGGAGAAGAGGTAGGTTTATGACTTAAAAGGCTCATTCTGAATAATTCCAATGATTTATGTAAGAGTTACTTGAAATTGTTCCTGTTCTCAGCTGTCAACTAGATGTTGGTAGCAGTAGCTATGTTTGGTTCAGTTTCTGGCAGGAGTCTAAATAGTTTGAACAAGTAATTTTGTAACTGCAAATCCTAACCTCTGCTTAATTTTCAAGTGCCAACTCTCATTTACTTGGTTGGACCTAATGGAGCAATTTAATCCTTTCTGCATTTCTTTGGTAAGCCATTACTAGTCAAACTGTTAAATCCTCTCTGTGCATCTTGTTGTATCCTCATTTTTGCTTATGCTATTGACTGTCTTGGTATATTGAAAATGCTAAATTCCAGGCACGCTGGCAAATGCTAGGGTTATTGACTTTTGAACAGCTTAAACAAGAATTTTTAAAATCACAGTAGATTCTGGTTTTCCTTTAGAATATCTATCACCTTTTTTTCTTGTATATTGCTGGCTTGTAAATGCTGCTGAGAGAGAGAGAGAGAGAGAGAGAGTGTGTGTGTGTGTGTGTGTGTGTGTGCGTGTGCGTCTGTTTGTTCCAGGTCCCAGAATGGGAGCTACTCTAGGGCAAATGTCACAGTTTATGTGTATTTGTTTAGATGTGTGTCTCTTGTTTGAATTAGCAGTACATGGTAAATCACCATTTAAGACTGGACTGAGGACTTTTCAGAAGCTTTTTATTTGTTTTAAAGGAGAAGGGTTTCTAGCCAAAGCTATCCAGGTTTTAAAGTGCTCTGTCCTAAACCAACTCAAGAGTCACCCTACTTGGTGCAGACACCTTGCTTGTTACATTCCCAAGTACTTGAGCGAGTGAGGAGGCATGATAGAAAATGGAGGGGGACCAAAGGTTTGATCATTTGCACCAGTTTGAGATTTGTAGGCACTATGATTTGCTTTCCTGCAAAATTAAAAATACATAGCAATGAGTTCTGGAATACTGTCATCCGAGGTGATATTTGTGGTTTTCCTTGAATGGTAAAATTTTAAATACTGTGCCCAATGATTTCTGGCACTGGAGGGGTTGGGTTTCATTGGTAAGTAGCTTCAGAGGGACCTGCTGTTGGGAAAGGCGTCTTCTAACTTAGATGAGCAGTTTGGGCCCCTGGCGGTGGGGAGGGGGGGTAATGGGGCGCCCCCATCAACCTTGTAAGTCAAGATTAACTGCATCAAGTCTGCAATTGAAGAAGTGAAAATAATGCAAAAAGGCATTGAGAGGCATTCTTTTGAGCTACCAGAGGGAAATAGTTCATATACCTCCTCTGATCACTAGGTAATTATTCTTGTTAACTAGGTGCTAGGTAAGCTTTAAAAAACCATATTTATTGATCTCTTTTGTTTTTCCATTGCTTTCATTTCTAAATCTACCCTCCACTTTCCAGTTTGTAACAAAATTTATGAAAGAAAAGGGAGGGGAGAAGAGAGTAATTCCTTCAAATTACCCAATATATGCAACATTCCATACTTGGAGCTCCCCACCCCCACCCCATTCTGCAGAAAAAGGAGGGAAACTCATTCTCTCCTCTCTTTCAGGCCAACCTTGATCATTAGAATTACCAAATGTTAAACTTTAAGTAGCTTCTTATTAAAGGATGAAGAAACTGACTATATTTCCATCCTACACCAAGGTATATTTTTGTCTGGTTAGAATGGTTGGGTTTCATAGCAGAGGGAATAAAGTGGTTATAAATAATGGCACTGCTGGAAAAGAAAAAAATCAATGGGCAAATGTGTGGATGTTTCTGTAATGAGCATTTTTGTGTTATTTATGGATGTCACACATGGAATTGATCATTGCATTCTATGTTTGGATTTGGATGGACCTAAAGACCAATTTTGAGCTTGTGACTGTTTAAAGCCCCGGGTTCTGGTGGTGGATGTAAGTACAGTGAAGGCATTTCCTTTAGCTCTCTCCACTTGAAGTTGTCTAGGCTTTTCATATCTTCCTTTGCTTTAATTTGACTCTAAAATATTGGATTTGTAATTGATCCTACTATATAACTTGTCATGATTTTCCCAAGTTCAGATAGAGTAAATGTCCTATTTAATGTATCTATTTGGAGTAGATAGTGAAGTAACAGGTATGGAAATATGCCATGCCAATAGCTGCCAGTAGGCAGTGCTGGTGGGTTTTTATCAAAACCTTTTTTTTTTTCCTGGAAAAGCCAGAAACATTAATTTTGGGGGGGGGGGTGTTACTCAGAACCACCCTGAAGCACGGCTGGCACAGGGGAACCACTAACAGCCTGGTATAGAGGATGGTCTTTGCCAGATGGGGAACTTTAGGGTAGACAGCGATGTTTGGAGGTATCAGGAAAAGGACTTAAGCAGACTAGGGTCATATTCCTTTTAACTTTGGGAAGAACTATTCAGAAATGGAGTAGATAGACCTGAGCAAATGTCTTCGTAAGCTCTAAGGGATGGTTGTGGGCTTATTATCTGTGTACTGACTTCTCTGCTTTGCTTGGAAAAGGGGCTGTTGGGTCTGAGGAGCATACTATGCCAGAAATGACAAGTTCTCACCCTCATTCAAATTCAGCACCTGCACTTGCCATCCATTTAAAAAAATTCTCCCTAAATGGCACCATTGATTCCATGACACTCATGGGACCCCAAGGTAAGAGTGAGAAACAGTTACGAGTCAAAACCAAAACTCGTACGGATCCCTTGTCCTTTGAGCCGAAGGAGGCATGGCCATTTCAGAGACCCTCTTCACAGTTTTCCATGCATGGGGTATAACAGCTTACAATGGGAATAGCCCATTTAGAAGTTTTGGAGGTAGTTTAATTCTTACGTGTTTTAACATCACCTTTTATTACTTCAAACATAGGTATAGCCCACAATTGATGGAAAAAATTTTCAAGATGGCTGAAGGTATTGATATTGGGGAGATGCCTTCACATGAACTGGTATTGCCTAATGCTCCCAAAGCTCAAAAACGTCCCCCCTCGCCTTGTGCTGGTGAGTATATTTCCCTTTCCTCGATGTGTGATCTGAAGAAACCTGAGGTCTCTGCTTCATTTGGTAAAATGAGGGTGATACTTAATTCTTGTAAGTGTAAAAAATGGTTACTTTCAAACTTGGGATCTGAGAGTTGTTGGGTCTGTTATCCTTTCATTTATTAATAGTTTTATGGAGAATGGGCACTTAATAGAATAATAAGTATCCTAGATATCACTGAGGCCCATGGAATGGGATCCACTTTTATAAATAATTACTTAAACCAGATCCCTCAAGATAGAGTTTGCTCATGATGGCATGTGTGTGTGCCACACACACACACACATACACGCACACACACGATGCTCTTGCATTGTAGCGTGTGACCAGGGCCCTTTACTCAGGCCCTAGTCTGGGCAGAGCACTGTGCTGGGCTGGGCCGGGCTGGGCTAGGCTAGGCTAGGCTAGGGAATACCAAGTTTAGGTATGACAGGATTCCTGGCTTCAGAGGGCTTCCCCACTGCTGCCAACTTAGGTCAAGACCCCATTGCTTCTGGCCTTGATAATTTCAGTAGCTTTTCCTTAACTTCTTTCTGTGCCAGACCCCCTCCAGACCAGGCTGTCTATCACTTCCAGATTCATCTTCCTAATGGACTGCTCTAAATCACCTGACTGCTCAAAGACCTTCTGCCTGTCCAATTGAGTCCAGACTCTTTAGCCAGGCATTCACAATCCTCTGAACGGATCTGACCCCGGGCTCCTTTTCCAGCCTTATCTTTCTCTACTCCCCTTTTGCTCAAATTGCTTTTCACATCTTTGGTTCTGTTCCAGTTAAACTACTGCCCATTCCCCAGATGGGCACACCCTATGCTGCTCCTTCCAAATAGGCCCACCTGCTGGCCCCCTCAGGTACCCACTTGCTGCTTGCCCTGCTCTGATCTGCCTAGCCTGATAGATGTCACAGCTCCCGCCTCTGGACTTGAAGAGCATTTGCTTTCTACCTCCTTCATGCGCTTAGCTTCTTAAAATGATCTCTCTATATGTTTAGGCCATCTCCCTCACTCAATGGTCATTTCCTTGAAGGTCATTTCCTTGCTGGTTTGGCACTTTTGTATCTTCACACCACTCAACCCCTGACCCAGCACAGTGCCTTGCACAGATGAGGTAACAGTATTCGTGCACATATGTAAAGTATGATATACTATATACCTGTATCTATAGATATAGATCTTGGCAGTAAGTTCTTCTGTAGTTTTAACTTTGGCACCCTCATTTTCCTATTCCAGCCATATTATTCTTTTTTCTCCTGAAAAAAAAAAAATGGATTCTATTTCTGTATGATGGGTCAGGACCAAGGCATTCCTGAAAACAGACTTTAAGGCAGGGGTTAGAAATTGGCAGTTCTCTTAAGAACTCTATTAGGAAAACCATTTTCTTCATTATGATTAATTATAAGTGATAAAGAAGACTAGTGTTCCACACTTTTTCCCTTTGGGTGGACCTTTGATCTCCTTGATTTGGTGCTGCCCCCAACAAACACACAGATTGTAATCTCTTCTGTGCAGTTCTTGTCTGTGTCCTCCCAGGAGAATTTAATTTAGCCAATGCACTCACTGGAAGGCATCTTCTGGTTCTCTTAATATCTCCAGGGGACCAATATAGCTGTGGGATTCTCTCCATCTATTGTGTCTCATTCTCCTTAGACTGGCCCATCTTTGATACACACACACACCCTTGATACTGTTTTTATACCACTTGTATAAATCATTGGTGCAGCTTGCTTTCAACCTATCCTATTTAAAAATCAGCAGTTAAGTGAAATTACAATCTGCAATATTAAAATGCTTAAAATTGTTAGTGTTTTAGCTTTCTTTCATTAAAAAAAAAGCAATTTGAGTACATGGATGTGGTATGAAGTGCTCCTTATCCAGTAAGACTGGCCAAACAACTAATTAAGAGAAGAAAATTACTCATCCTAATTTCTAAAAAGCCATTTAAATGGACAAACTTAGCAGCTCCCAATAACTAATCCTGCTGATTTTTAAAAGATAACAGCCTAGAGTTTTTAAAAATGAACCTATTTCTTTAGCCTGCAAGTTGCTATGAAAATACAGATCTATATAGATTCTCTGGATGGGAAATTTGCCCCTAACTAATAAACCCTTATTACCTACATAGCCCTGGAATAGGAGAATTGGGGTAAAATGTATTAACTGAAAATTCTAGCTCTAGAATAATTTGAAGAAGGTACGAACATTTGGATCTTCTTGGCTCCCTGCTTTAGGTTGTACTGATCGGTTTGTCACCCCAGTAGACTCTGGGCTCCTTGAGAACTGGGACTTTGGCCTCTTCCAATATCTTCTGTGAAATAGGAGTTTTAACAGATGCTTGAATGGAAAGAACCAGAGCCGAGACTAGCTGTGTGGCCTTGGGGAAGCTCTGTAACCTTTCTGGGCCAAAAATTTCTTCATCTGTGAAAATGAAGGGATCTCTTTTCCAGCTCTTTAAACAACACCACAGATTGATTCTTTACTTTCCACATGTTGCTGAATTAGTCTTGAGGCAGAAAGAACAGAGTTAGAAGGCTTTGAACTTGGACACTGGACCCACTAGACACTATAGGATACAAAAGTATGTCTGTGAAGGTCGATTTGTTAATACCTGGAAAAAAATTCCATCAGATTTTTTCCTCATTGATATTTGACTTAAGACTGCTTATTTTTTCTTTATGAAATTGTAAAATGTAGCCATTCTACTGCTACCATCCCGCCCAGACCCTTGGTTAAATAAGATAGGAAGTGTCAAAGGAGAGAATAGGGTCACAAGGTCTCAAATATTACAACTTCTCTACTTTGAAAAAATGCCAATAAAATTTTGAATGGGAGTCTGGATCTCTTTGCCCAAGCCTAATAAAGTTAATATAATAAGATCATCTTAACTGTTTAATCCCATCCTGTCAGATGATAAATTCCTGGGTGCCAGTCAAATGGTTGTCTGTTTTAGGTAGCAGCAACCTAAATGAAAAAACGATTTGAATATCGATGGACGAGCCTGTCCCTTTCAAGTTTTCTCAGGGTTAGGGACAGTGGCCCCTTGATCTGTGTGTGTGCACAACGCATGTGGCTGTACCCAAATTTCTCATTGCCCGCTAGATATGTCCCCAGCCAGAAACAGTCTTTCCCTCTTCTTAACTGCCATGACATTTTATTTGTATGGCTCTGATAGTATACATTTTAGTTCACATTATAGGTATTTGTGTACATCTTCTCTCCTCTGGCAAGCTCCTTGAGGGCAGGATTCAACAGGTATTTATTAAGCTCTTTCCGTGTCACTGGGAATACAGAAATGAAATCGTCCTTGCCCTCAAGTAACTTCCATTCTACTTGAGGGAAAACAAACATGTACACAGATAAGTGAATATGAGAAATCTACAGATGAAATGACCAAATAGTTGGGGGTAAAGGACAAGGACAATGAAGGGACTCACAGAAGGCCTCTTGGAGGTGAGCCTTGAAGTTGCCCAAAGATGGAGATGAGGAGAGAGGAGAGCATTCCAGGTGTAGGGGCATGTACATGGAACAGTAAGTAGGCCGAGATGGCCAGAACGTTGGGTGGGGAGGAATATGGAATCATTCTGGAAAGATAGGTCAGAGCCAGATTGTGAGAGGCTTTAAATACTGATTTGAGGAAGAGGTTGCCATCTAAGCTTCTTGAGAAAGTCACATGGTCCGAACGGTGATTTAGGAATATCAGTTGGGCAGCCATGTGGAGAATTGATTGGAGTGGGGAAAGACTGGAGGCCATTATAGTAATGCATGCAGAGGGAATGTTGGGGCCTGAACTAGGGTGGTGGCCATGTGAGTGGACAGATGTGGAAGGCGAATCTGATGCAGGGGAAGTTGGGTGTGTGTGCTAATAAAGTGAGAAGGGGAATGACAACTCAAGAGTTGAAGATTCCCTTTCCCTCCCTCCCTCCCTCCCTCCCCACCTTGCTCCTTCCCTCCCTCCCCTCCCTCCCCACCCCCCCCCCCCCCCCCCCCCCCCCAATCAGCTTGCCCCAGCACTTCTCCAGGACGTGCTACTAGCAAGAAGGACAAAGAACTGAGGATCTCACTGCCAGCGAGCACCCAGCAAGAATGAAGAATAGGGAGAATTTTGCAGTGACCTGCATAGGGTATATATAATGTTTGTATTTCTGTCACAGCCAAGTGACTATGTCTGGTTTTTTGTGTCCCCATTAGCACCTGGCACAGTACTGTGCTCATAGTAGGTGATAAATCTTTGTGAAGTTAGACTGCCATTCAGCAGTGGGACTCCTGGCAGTCCTGCTGTGCCCCGGCCGAAGGCCTTCCCTACTCTTGGTTTTCTAGCTGCTAAAGACTTTGTGGGCCCTGGAGAACACAGACCACAAGGCTTGGGGGAGGGGTGGGGTGGAGAGGTGGGGATGCTGAGGCACAACTACCAAGATGGGTGAATGTTATGAAGAAAACCCAGACCAAGGATGGTGAGAGGAGGGTTGAAAAGTTGGTGATAATAAGAGCCAACATTCCTAGGTCACTCTTAAGGTATATAAAGCACTTACCATTTATTACTGCATTTGATCTATACAACCATCCTGTGAGGTAGGTACTGCAGATATTTTTTAGCCATTTTAATATACTTTACTGTAAATACCAAATTCCCTTACAAGGTATATATATCCACTGCGCACACACCCCCCCCCAACAATTAAACAACTGGTAAATCTCACATCACTTTGCACTTTTGTAGCTATTGACAGAAAGGTTATAGCCTATAACTTTGATGACACGATACCAATATCGTCTGTTAACATTTGACCCAAGGTGGTTGTTTTGTTTTGCTTTTTAATGTTGACTTTCACGTTACTTTGGGTGATGTTGTTCCCATTTTACAGGTGAGGAATCTGAGGCTTAGAGAGGCTAAGTGACTTTCCCAAGGTCACACAGCTAGTAAATGTCAGAGGCAGGATTCAAACCCAGTTCTCTTCTGACTCCTAAGGCCAGTGTTCTTTCCACTCCACCAAACTGCCTCTCTACTGGACTCTGAATTACCAGCATCTTGGAGTCTTCATCAGAGGCAAAAGGGAATGATTCCAATTGGGGAGAAGAGGGGGCCAGCCTGGTGGGACTGTGCTCAGGTTGGGCAAGCCGTAGGCTGGAAGAAGCTGAACATGATGAAACACATGCTATTTTGCTTCCAGCAGCTCCAGGGAGTAGGCTTCTAGGAACTAGAGCAGATCCAGTCCCCTCCCTTGCCCCTCACATGGGGTGACAGTGTGCACCCTGAAAGAATGAAATGATAATCTGTTGGGAAAGGGCAAAGCTGCCACTGAGGGGTGGGGGTTGAGCAGAGAACAAGGATACTGGAGACAGATTTTTGCCCAAGGGTTAGTCAGACATAAGCTATAATATATATACAGGAAGAAATTTTCCTGTTTGGAGCCACTCATTAATTAAGCCATTCATTAATCTGATTCAGTCTTGGGACAATTAGGTTCTTCAAAATAAGGTCTTCTGAAAAGTTAATCGATACAAGTTTGTTCCAAATGTGTGCAGGATGTACAGGTAAAATATGGTAATAGAAAATCTTGAGAGTGATTAAGATAAAACATTAAATGGTACATCTTGAATGCTCCTCTCTGGAGGATTGGGGAGAAAACCAGAATGAGAAGGCCAGAAGGAGTTATAATCTAAATTGGTGGTAGAAAGACTCAGATCAAAGAAACCATGGAGCCTTCAAAGTCAAAAAAAGAATGTATTTCATTGATTTGGGGGCACATAGATCAGACTTACTGTATATTGAATTTTATATCAAGTGATAGCCCTTCATTAACCAGCATCACAGAGATCAAACATGAAAAATGAATACTTGTCCCTATAAAAATGACCCAAAATCTAGAGTATACTCCATCTTCTTATGTTAATTCTGTACACTCCCCCAGGGATTTAAAGGGGTGGGGGTGGGGGGGGGTGTCACCTTATTCCTCTCAGCCCAGGCAGATGAGTCTTACAAGTTAACTCCCTTTTTATAGTCCAAATAATATCTCCTTCTATGCCTAAATGAATGGCCTTCCCTAGTGAAAAGGTGACATCACCTTTCTAGGCCAGAGATACAGCACTCCAATATTTTACACTAAAATTCTTTATACCGGTGAATAACCACTGGGGTCTCCTTTCTTTATGCTTTAACATTCCTTCTATGTCAAACCATGATTGGGTACATGGTACACTGTTGTCATTATTTCATTGGCTTCTGGAGGTGCATAGTATTAAGACCCATGATACATATATATATATATATTTTTTTTTTAGTCCATTATTAATAGTGCATCTTTTGTTACCGTTTGACAACCATTTGTTATCTTGGCTATAGTATGTTCACCCCCTCCAGGCCTCACCACTAAATTCTACTTATTATAAATATGGTAATCATAGAATGTCAAAACTGGAAGAGCCCTTAAACAATTTAGTCCAGCCCTCTTATTTGCCCAGTACGGGTTATGCCGTTAAGCCTAATGGCAGAGCACTCAGCCAGAATCCAGGATCCAGGTGTCTGTCTGTCTGTCTCTCTCTATTTTTTTTTTTTTTTTTTTGCTGCTGCTAGGCAATGTGACTTGCCCAGGGTCACACAGCTAGTAAGTGTCAACTGTCTGAGGCCGTATTTGAACTCGGGTCCTTCTGACTCCAGGGCCGGTGCTGTATCCACTGTGCCACCTACCTGCCCCCCAGATCTCTTAACATCCAGTCTAATGTTCCTTTAATTGCCCTCCATGTACAGGACTCTTAATTGGAACTATGAAATGTCATGTTTAGTGGTCTAGATTCTGGATTGGAGGACAGTAGGCTGTGACTTTTTTTTTTTCCCTTAAGATCAAACCAGGTTTGGAAATTTGGATCTTTTGTATTTTGCCACTGCCGTCATATAATACAAAGCAGAAACTAGAAGGCCTACGGTTGGGGATGCTAAAGAGGTATGGGTTGGTACAGGGTTCCTACCAACTTCTGATGGTCTATGTTTTTTAGTACTGCCTGGGCTGAGATGATGGGAGTGGCTTATTTAGCAACTGAGGTATAGTGAGATTTTCTTTAACTTGGGTAAACATTTTTATTCTATTTTAATAGTGATAAGTGCCTCTTTAGATCAGTGATTTTTTTTTCTCCCTTCAATCTTGTTGCATTCTCCCTATACAGGAAAATTAAATTGACATGTGCAACACTGTATTACCTTTTCCCTGGAGGTAAGGCAAGTATTGTCAGCTGTGGAACTAAAAACCTTTTTTGAATAGTCTATTAATGAAACATCCATCTCTTAATCCAAAAATGTGTTAAAAGTTGAAAAACCTGAAATAAGCTATTGAAGATTCTATTTTGAATCACAACTAACTGTAGTATGGTGTTTGGGGAATGATATTTGAACCTTTTCTTTTCTTTAACTATAAATTTCACTCATTCCATAGGTCAAATCCCTCCCAAAAAGCAAGCTGCTTCCAGACTCCAGGTGAAACCTCGTTTTGAACCTGTACACTTTGTAGCTAGTAGTAATAAAGATGAAAGAATGGAAGATCCTTCAGACACTAAAACACAGCAAGCGGACTCTACCGCCACACCATTAGACACCTACCAAGATGATGTTAACAACAGTTCCCAAGATCAAAAGTCTCAGTATTCTGAAACAAGTTGTGATCTCACTAATAACCAGACTGCAACAACCAGCATGTTATCAGCTAGTGTGAACACTGCCCCAAGTGCTACATCCCATCCTCCTCCATCCTCTCAGTCAGCTGCTGTGGCTTCCCCCTCTGCAAAATTTTCAGAATCAGAAGTAGCTGGGAAGCAAGAGTTTATTGAAAGACTTTCTGCAGTTATTTGCAAGAGCCTTTCAGGGATGAATCTTGGAGCTGATAAAATTAATTATACATACATGTTAACTCGTTGCATTCAGGCATGTAAGACAAATCCTGAGTATATATATGCTTCTTTAAAAGAAATCCCCCCTGTTGACATCCCCAGAAGTAAAAAACTTTTAATTGATGGCTTTGCTTGTGAAGTTAGATGCCAGAGTATCTACCTGACTACAGGTTATGCTGGCAGCAAAAATGGTTCTAGGGATCGAGCTACTGAACAGGCCATAAAGCTCTTGCAGAAATCTGTTGAGGTTAGAGTAATTAAGAGGAAATTCAAACACATTTATCAAGATGACCTCGTGGTATGTCAGATTGGTGTATCATCATATGATTTTCCTCCAGCCCTAAAAGCCCCAGAAGATCTCTCTGTCAAGAATGGGGCAGAGCAGTCAGACTCTGCTTCCAGTTCCAAACATTGGACCAATTTTGTCCTCATAGAAAATGCAAACGATGCTATTGGAATCCTAAACAATTCTGCTTCATTCAACAAAATGATAATTGAATACAAGCATGAGATGATGCCAAATCGCACATGGCGCTGTCAGGTGTTTTTGCAAGGGCACTGCTTAGCTGAAGGTTATGGAAGCAAAAAAGTAAGCAAACATGCAGCTGCTTCTAAAGCATTGAAAATTCTTCAAAAAACACAATCTGATACCCCAGTTGTCCAAGCTACACAGGTTCAAACAGTAGGCTATTCACCTAAGGGATCTGGAAACAAAGATTTAAAGGATCTTGTAATTTATGAGAACTCTTCAAACCCTGTATGCACACTAAACGATACAGCTCAGTTCAACAAAATGACTGTCAAGTATGTTTTTGAAAGGCTGATAGACTCAAGGTGGAAATGCAAGGTGATTCTGGAGAATGAATTCATCACAGAAGCAGTTGGGGTGAAAAAATTTGTCAAGCATGCGGCTGCAGAAGAAGCTGTGAAAATCCTTAAAAAGACACAGCCAACTGTCATTAACAACCTGAAGAAAGGTACCATTGAGGATGTGATCTCAAGAAATGAGATTCGAGGTCGCTCAGCAGAAGAAGCTTATAAACAAGAAATCAAAGAGGATAACATTGGGAATCGGCTTTTAAGAAAAATGGGTTGGACAGGGGGTGGGTTAGGGAAATGTGGGGAGGGTATCCGTGAGCCCATCTCAGTCAAAGAACAGCATAAACGGGAAGGGCTTGGGCTTGATGTAGAGAGAGGAAATAAAATTGCCAAGAAAGATATTGAACAGATCATCAGAAATTATGCACGGTCAGATAGCCACACTGATTTAACTTTTTCTACAGAGCTTACCAATGATGAACGGAAACAAATACATCAAATTGCCCAGAAGTATGGTCTTAGGAGCAAATCTCATGGAATAGGCCGTGAAAGATATTTGGTGGTAGGTAGAAAAAGGCGTAAGGAAGATTTATTAGATCAGCTCAAACAGGAAGGCCACGTTGGACATTATGAACTTGTTATGCCTCAAGCAGATTGAGACCAAAATGATCATGTAAACACTTGCTAACATTTTGTGAAATAAATTAGAAAGAAATGTTGCATTTTCTGGTTGTAGAAAATATTCATTCTAAAGTGTTGTAAAACTTTGCTCTTTTTACTTATGCTTTTGTAGGAAGGCTCTCGTTCAAGTTGTACTAGTATATAGTCCAGAAGACAAAATTGTCCTCAATGTCATTGATGTTGCTAGTTATTTTATATTGTGATGTGATCATGTGATAATAAAAATGCACCCAAATGTACCCCTTCCTTTTGAAGTATACCTTGTATTTTGCCCTAAAAGAATTTTTAATTTGTTTAAAGAGCAAAGTGATTTGGAGTAAATGTGTTAATGGTAACAACTACAATAAAACTACAACTGTCAACAATATTTTGTATTTTAGCTTGTACTTTGTGCTAAGGTACTTTAAAAACTTTTAATTTCTTTTTCAAGAACAAACATACACTTTGTATAAAAAGTATCAGCCAGATAATTTAACCTAGTCACCATATTCGGACAGTTGCTGAACCTCTTTCAGTGTACAAATGAGTCTTTGAGAATTGACATTTTACAGGAAAATGGTACTTGAGAGAAGCATAAAAAGGATTTTTAAAATATCCTGAAAATCAAAGTTCAAGAAAGTAAAGTTGAATTATTTGTACTTATTAACAGTATACCCACAGACAGCCAAGAAGCAGATGGGACACCCCTTCCTTAAGAACAACTGCCTTTATCTTTCACACATTCCTGAAGGAATGTTTTCTGAGTCATAAATACTATAAAAAACAGCAGGAGCTCACCTGGGAAATGGTGGACAGGTTGTCTTTGAAGCATCAAGATATCTTCACATTTGAACAAGTTTGAACCAGAATAACCATTTATCCTTGGATGTGTCCATCACAGAACTTTCTCTTTGGATTGAGGCAATGTATCCAGGCTGCTATTGAAACTTTTTTTGGGGGGGATTCATTACAAGTTGTAATCTTAACCATCTTTCATGCTTCATCAAAAGTTGCTAGTCCTTTTTAAGGTTTTTTTTTTTTTTAACTTTTTTGTAGATGAATATATTCAACTGCTATTCATACCTACTACGTCCTGTGTGGTCCTCACCTCCTAACTACCTTCCTTCCAGAGGATCCAACTGTCTCCCTAGTTCTACCTTTGCTGATAGGAAAACAGAAGTGAGTTTCACTATTTGCTAAAAGCAGGATTAGCCTCCGTATCTTCTGTAGAAAGCTAGTGAACGTTACTCCTTAATGCCATGGCTAAGTCTTAAAGGCATGTGGCTGTGTTCATTTAGTGAGTAGAACAAGCTTCTGTTTTTGTTTTTTTGCTAAAATGTTGGGTTTCTGAATCAAAGTGTCTGGGAATTTAGAAGAAACAACTTTTGAGTTTTTCTTTCCTGCCCCAATGTTCTAGGACAGAAAGGTAGTCCTGATTTATTGCTTTGAGTTTTAAGATGCTAGGAATTGGGAACAGGAAAGACACCAGCAGTTCAACTCTGCTTCTAAGCTAAGTGAAACATTATTTTGGCTATATCTCTTTCCCCTCTTTTCTGACTGGCTTTATAAAAGCCGGTCAATAAATATTAAGCGCCTACTATGTGCCAGGCACTGTGCTCAATCACTGGGGCTACAAAAAGAAGAAAAAGACAGTCCCTGCCCCTCAAAGAGCTTACAATCTAATGAACTCTAGTCTTGGAATTGGGAAGTGCTGCTTGTGACCCTGGAAAAGCCTTTTGACTTCTGAATGTGTTTGCTCCCCTACAAAACGGGGATGAAAATCAGATTACACCTTCCCTACATCACTCCGGAAAGCACTATATAAATGTGAGAAATTAGTAGTAGTAGTAGTATAGTACAAGTACAGTTTGCAATGAAGAAAGGTCCTAATTTTCCACCAAAGCTATCATCACAACCACCAAAATACTTAAAAGTTTACATACATTAAATGCCTGATTTGTTTGTAATATTTCAGAGCTATGCCCTACCCTAAATCATGATTTTTGCCCATGTACCGTCACACCTATTAACTGACATTCTCCTCCACCTCCACCCCAAATTTTCGTATGGAGAAAAATGCAAGAGAATATTTGGAATAGTTTGTGGCTGTGAAGCTAGTGATTGAGTTGATCTTGGCTTTTTGGCGTAAACAAAGGCAGTGAAAGGCAGTCTTGCTTTCTGGCATATGTAGATTTCTCAAACTTCCTTACAATCTTTTTTTTCATTTAAGTATTTAAAATAAAGTGAAAAGCAAGTTTCTATAGCAACAGTACAATCCTGTCACGTGTAGTATGAAGGATGTGAAACCTGCCAGCTGCCATGCTCCCAGAGAGTATAGAGAGTAGGCCCCCAATAACCCTTACTGTTTGTTCAGTCGTTTTTTTAGTTGTGTCCTACTCTCTGTGACCCCGTTTGGGGTTTTCTTGGCAAAGATCCTGGAGTGGTTTGCCATCTCCTCCAGCTCATTTTACAGATGATGAAACAGACAAACAGGGTTAAGTGACTTGCCCAGGATCACACAGCTAGTAAACATTTGATGCCTAATCTGAACTGAGAAACATGAGTTTTCCTCATTCCAAGTCAAGTGCTCTATCCACTACCCACCTAGCTGTTTATATGACTTCTTAGAGGTGCTGGTGCTCTCATGGTTTCCAGAGAACTCTCCAGGCCTTCAATTTCACTGAAATGATGGCATTTATGCCTATGATTGTGAAAATAAAATATAGTATGTTAAGTTACTAAAGCTTCAAACTGCACTAAGATCTTTTAAGACATGTTCTTTAGTGGCAGTATCCACCAAAAGGCCACAAGACAAAGACGTTGAGAAAAAGGTCTTACTTTCCTGGAATAATGTTCCTATCGTCCCAGCTTTATGTAAGATTAAATTTTGCCCATATTTTTAGCCTAGTAGATTGATTTTACACACCCTCTCCCAGCCTCCTAATATGATTTTATGCTGACAGTTTGTATTTTCTAAGATTCATCTGTACACATTATTTTTTTTAAATTGCTATTACTTATGCTGATGTTATTTCCCCTTTCCAAAAGATACATGTCGAATTTTGATGTTGGTATTGATCTTAAGCAATAACTGGGCTCTTAGGAAGGTATCAAGATTCTGCTAACTTTCTGATCACTGTGAAGTTATATTAAGCTAAAAAAGTAGGACTGGGAGAGCTTGCCTGTAAATTTAAGGTTACTTTTTATTTACAATTTCTGGAAAAATGTACACTTTTTACATGGGCTACTTGTGCAAAATTACTTGAACAGACTGAGCTGCACAAAAGATGACAATGGACGTAAACAGAACATTTATAAGCAGTGCCCCATACTGTCCTGATAAATGTATCATTTCTCACAAAGTCCAGACAGCCTTAGCCTGAAGGGTTTCTGGACTCTGAACCAAAAAGAGGGAGGCTCTCATGAATCTGAAGGGGCTAAAGCATACTTACTGCTTGGTACGAAGCTCTGGATTGGGCAAGTGTGAAGCAGCAAGATGCTTTTTGCCAAGAGGTACTTCATTCCTTGGGTAATTTAAACTCAGAAGAGAGAGAGTGAGCAAACAAACTGTAGGGACAGCTTCGCTCCTCCAAAGTCAATAAGGGATCTCTCATTCTCACCAAAACGTAGAAACCAGAGTAGGAGTTTCTTTACCTCCCGACCTCAAAACCGACAGATCTTCCCTTCGATGTCATACCTAGTTACTAGACCACAGTTACAGCTCTAGTTAATACCTAAAAATGTGAGTGGGTGGGATTTGTTTTTCTTTTTTAAGTGATGCTCCTATTTAATAACATTTTTCCTTCCTGTCATTAACCTACCATCTCCCAGGAATAGCCCAGACCAACTTTATAAATGGATTACTTTACGTGGAATCAAGTTTTTCCATTCTAAGTGGGAAAACTCTAGGTAGAGTAAGTGCTTCAAACTCATGCTCCTAAGACCAGCCTGGACTAATTTTTCATCACTTTAATCAATTCAGTTTTTTTTTTAAATGTGCATGTGTGCATAGAAATATGTTATCAAGCTACATAAGTACCCTTGTGCATAACCATTATTTTAAAAGCTTAGTGGAAAGTACAGTTAATGTACGATACTATCCTAAAATTGGAGATGAAGTACCACAGAAAAGGAATTCAGTATTAGTAATTCTTTTACAAGTAACCCAAGTACAATACATTTTGACTTTGTAGTAGGTGTTCTCGGATGTCAGAAGGGGAGGGAGGAAGGAAAGCTTCAGCAAGGAAGGGTGGCAACAGCATAACAGCTGTTTTGTTTTCAACAAAATAAATGTAATGATGCTAATAGGAAAAGAAGGCAAGGGACAGACAGAATTTTTTCCTTTTGACCAGACTGTTCGTTTGTATCGTCCTGGGTCAACAATCACGCCAGCTCTGTTCTACTATTGCCGAAACTCGCTTTTCATATTCTCGCTTGTTCTCCTGGTATAGCTGAGCAGCCTGGCTGTTTGCTGGACTGTTGGGATTAGGCTCATCCAATAAAGACTAAAAAAAAAAATAAAGGTTCAACTTGCCAACATTAAAATTTTTTTTTAAAAAAAAATAAAGCTAAACTATGAACCAGAGCTATTTATTTAGCTCAAGTGCCTAGACGGGAAATGCGTCTAGTCTCAGCAATTCTAGTAGAATATTTTCTAGTAGCCTGGGCCTTAATATAATTTACAAACATCAACAGAATTAAGCAATGAAAACTCAGCTATAAATTCCCCTTCCCTTATAACATTAAAGTAAATTATTTATACAAATGTTCAATAAACTTTAGTGAAACTAGAAAAATTCACCTGTATGGATGTCAAAATGGAGGAAACATCATAGGTTGGACTCCAACGATTCTGAAGTATATCCAGGCATATACTACCATCTGCATAGACTAAAAGCATAGCTGTATCAGTATACACACTGTACCCACTGCTATTATGACTTTGACAGTGTACACAAAGTTGGGTGTAGTTCTTTAATAGGCCATGTTAAAAGGCACTGGACTGTGTGACTTTGGTCAACAAGCTCAGCATTTTATCACAGCTCTGTGATTCTAGCAGGCCTCCCTCACGTGGGATGTTTGGCTAAGCAGTGGGATACTGGTCAGGTAAGAGAAAACATCTCTATCTCCAGGAGAAAGCAGATACCATCTACCTCACTCCGAAAAGGAAAAGGCCAGAAGGGCAAATGATGTTAAAATATGCCAACGGATAATTATTATAAAAGAGTAAAATGTCAAAACTAAGAACTTTCAAGATGTCCTTAGAGGACGATCAAAACAGAAAAACATTTTTCAAACCAAAGCTGGCTGTGCTCTGAAAAAGAAGGGTTGCTCTTAAGCCATTTCAGGCCTTTCCCCAATTCAACTCTTCCCCCTCCCTCCCCCCAATAACAGAATCCCTCAACTGTTCTGCTGCTGTTGCCATAGCCACATTCAAACTGCAGGGATTGTGACTCAGCTTATAGAGAATAAATATTGATCCCATTGTGCCTAAGAGGGAGCTTGCCCAACTACTACAAAAGTCTCGTCCAAGAGCCATTTAACTGCTCTTACTTTGGGGACAACACAAGAGGTGACTCAAATATACCCCTAAAGATTTTTGGCCTACAAAACCTCAAGTCCTCTCAAGGGAGAATTTAGGGTCTGAGGACTGCTGGTCTAGGAAGTGATTTCACTTCCCCCTACCCACCCCTTCAACAAAATACTCTGCTTTTACTGAACTGGAAGCAAGTGAAGCCAGCTGGAATGCATTGTACAGATAAGTACCCTCCCACAAGAAAGACAGGTAAAATGATCAGAATACTTACCATTTGGATGAAACATTTTAGAGACAAATCTTACTGTAGGTGGTTTGTTTGGATATTCTTCTGTGAATTCTATTGTAAGTTTAAATGTGCCTGTAGATAGAAAAGTTTAAACCACCATATTTACAAGCCTTTCAGCTCAATATTGATTTGCTTAGTAATAGCTTACATTTGTATTTAGCTTTAGGGGGTGCAAAGCTCTTTCCTCACACGCAGTGTGCACAGAGGGAGTACAAAAGCCATTCTTGTTTTTACAGATTCAGGGAGGCCAACAGATTTGCCCATGATCACAGCTAATAGAATCTGCATCAAGCAAAACAGATACATACACGTCTATGCATACCATTTACGTGTGTGTGTATGCATACACACATATAGAGAAGGAAAAGGCAGACAAGATGAGACCTTCAGAGATGACACCACCCAGCCATTTCCAAATGTACAGTTTTGCTACTTTGTGTGACAACTCCCTTTAACACAAGTTTTGTTTTACTACTCTAAATGTTGAAATTGCTTAAACCAGGGGTGGGGAGCCTGCAGCCTTAAGACCACATGTGGCCTTCTAGGTCCTTAAGTGCAGCCTTTTGACTGAATCCATCCTTGTTCTATAAAAATTTAGAAGGCCACAGGTTCCCCACCCCTGGCTTAAATTGTTTTATTCAAACTTAAGAACAGTCCATCTTGGGCTCAGAATGACTAACTTTGATATAACTAACCATAGCAAACCTAAAATAAAACAAAACCATTCTCTAAAAGACTACTGACTCTATGAAGTCCCCCCACAAAATGACTCTACCCTTCTTACTTCCTCCTCCATCCCTCAGAGGTGTACTCTCTGCTGCAACCATATAATAGGCTTCCAGTTCCTGTTCCTTCCTCCCAACACGGTCTGTGCTCTTTTCCCCCAGTTCTTCCCTTTTCCCGTAATGCCTCCCTTCCCATCTCAACTAGTCAATCTATCCCGTTCTGGGCTGGGTTCAAATGTCCCTTGAATTCAAGCAATCTGACTCTATAGCATTTTATAATCCTCGTAGATATAATGCGTGTCTAAGTACATAAACTAAGACACGCTAATACACACACCTATCTTCCACACTCTCATATTCAGGCTAGGATGTTATTTCTATTTGCTTCTTCCTCCAACGTCTAGAATAGTGTATTGTGCCCACTAAGCGCTTACTATTTCTCTTCTTTAAACCAAAAGTAGGGAACAGAAACTGTGAGTTGTAAAGTCCTTTAAAGCAATGGTATCAGACTCAATTACATAAGGATTCCTGCAGACTGCAGGTTGGCTTAGAAAATCACATGTTAATAGCATATATGTTTTATTGTACTTCATTTTGTTGAATATTTCCCAATTACATTTTACTCTGGTCCGAACTGCACTTGGGAGTGTTGTGGGCAACATGTTTTGACACCTTTGCTTTAAAGGAAACACAGCCAGACTTAAGATTCGTTTCAAGTAGAAAAAGTAATAAAACTCTCAGTCTGAAACTTCAGTTGTCCAATATGGAACATTAGTTAAACAGTGACTACTAGAAGTACAATTCCTGAAACACTTAAGATTCCAGAAAACAACATCCCATTCCCAGTCTGGGGGATGGTCCATGTCCATGAATAAACACAGAAGGTGTAAGTCTGACACAAAATTAACAATCAGGCTCGAACAAAGAACTAGCAAAAGGTACAGACTACTCCTAGTAGTTAGGCTCTAAGTTGCATTTTTTAAAAAATCCCAACTACAGAGAATTTGAATAACACAGCACTAATTATAACAACATGGTACTTTTTGTAATTCTTCTTGTAATACTTTTTGTGATTTATGTTCTAAAATTTTAGAGGAAAAAATACACTACCCACGCATTCAACATCAAATATTTAAGTGATATTCTTATACACTAATCATTTCTGTAAATAAAATGCCATTATAAGTACCATTAATGGAAGATTTTAATTGAATATAGGTCTGAAAACTACCTATTCCTTGTATATTCCCTTCAAGCCTGTATCACACAGCACTTCAGTATACAAAATCCTTGACATTCAAATCATCAATAAACAGTTATCTTCCTTATTCACACTAATAAGGGGATCAGTGACAGAGGTCATCCAGAAATCATTCATATTTGGTTTTGTAATGTCCCAAACGACTCCAACAGATGTGTCTTCTTAATTATGTTTTGTTTAGATTGATACTCAAATGAACTGGCATTTGGTGGCACGCACCACGGTAGAGGAGGCGACCCTTAAAAAGAAAGACATTTACCTGACTTTAAAAAAAATGGGCGTCAATGATAGAATGACTGGGGTTCTTTTTATCAGGCAAGGATAAACCAGATCTTACTCAAGAACTGGGGAATCTGTAAAAGTAGTTCTAATAACCATTTAAAAAATAAATTCAAGAAGTTTATCTTGGACCAACATTATTCCTTTTTCCAAAGTTATGTTTTTTTCAAGTTTCTCTGCCACCAAGAAAAACCAATCACCAACTGCCCAACAGCTTTCAACTGACTCCCAAATGCCTTGCATAAAATAGAAACTGCTCCATCTGGCATTTAAAGCTTTCCCCAGTCTGTATCCAACCTACCTTCCCAGGCTCATTTTATATGATTCCTTCATTACTATTTTAATAATATTTCCCCAAATCCTCAACATGGTCTAGAGATACCCTTACATTCCCCAAGATTATTCCAGTAGAGCGTAAGCTCAGGCCCTGTACCAAACTGGAAGGGCTTTGAGCACTATATGATGGCCACGAGTTGATGAATTTTTCTGCTGCAACTCTTGACAGCCATTTCAATTAAAGAAGAATTAGACTCTGACAGTGAAAGAAAGAAGTGGAATACTCACACCAACGAAATTACAGATATTTGAAGCATTTTTTTTGAGGAAAAAAAAAAGAAATCAAATGTCATGGAATAAACTAATAAACTCTTTATTACCACCTGGCCACAAATCATCTTTTAGATCTTTCTACATCTAGAGGATGTAGGAAAAAAAAGTTTAAGCTCTTTTTTAGTAGCAGAGACATTCTAAATACACAGAACAGCATGAGTGCTTGAAGCTTCAGAAAGTTCAAAGAGTTCCCATCCCTTCCAAAATGGTATGTTAATTCCAATTTCAGAATCTAATTAAATTTCAGTTTTCTAAGATCCTAAAGCAGGAATCTGACTATATCACATATGTATTAAAATGCACATGAATAACAATTCTAAAGGGCTCAGATTAAATTTTATATGTTTTCCAGACACAGTGGTTAGAAAAGGAATTTAATACCAACTTCTGTAATGTCCTCAATTTAAGAGGCTCCTTCTCTGGTGACACAAAAAATACAAAACTTCTTTGCAAGATGGTGACTAAGTATTTCCAAAATCATCTTGAACTGAGCTTCCTTCCCAAAACTTAGCAGCACTAATTCAGCCAGCTGGGCAATGAACACCGGTGTGACAAACATCTTGTCACTGAAGCCAAGAGATTTCATGGCGTCTTCAAAGACATGGGTCAAGGGCACACTCAATTTAGGAGTCAGAAGACCTGGGTTCAAATCTCATCTCTTAATATTTGCTAGCTGTGTAACCTTGGGCGGTCATTGTAACTTCTCTGAGGCTCAATTTCCCGTAAAAACAGAACATCTTTAGTACCTAACAGCCAGAATGATTGCAAATGCCCAATTCAAGTAATATATACAAAGCACTTTGCAAATGGAAAGTATTTATGTTAACTCTTCTTTAGTACCTCAAAAATTGAGCTTGTTTAAACTTTAAACAACTCTTTAAGAATTAAACCCTAGTTTTATATAATCTGTATTGGTTTAATTTAAGTTAAGCCTTCCGAGAAGGTCAAAATGTGAGAAAGTACCAACTAAGCCATTAGCAGAAAGATTCCGTACCTTGTTTTTGAGAAATCTGATGACCAAAAAGTCAAACTTAGGAAAATATCAACACTAAGAGTCTTCACTTTATAGAGAAGGATTTAAAGTTCCATTTACGTGAAACCTCCCTTAGTGTGTTCAAAGTGGTTAAGGTTTTTTTTGTAAAAAAGGTTTCTACATAACTTCTTAGGAACATATCTCTAAAATAAGAAGGTATTTTTCCTCCCTAAGAAAGCCTTTCTGCAATGCCGACCTTGGCTGTGAGTTCTAGCAGGTCCTTCCAAGCTGGAAAGATGGAATACATCTCAGCTGGGACTCTGAGAGGCTCACCACCAGACTGATGGCAGGATGATCTTTTTTAAACTACTACAATAACTCTCAGACAATCTCCTAAATTAGAGCTCCGTTACAATCTGCACAGGTGGACGGAGCACCTATGTGCTATGGGATGGATAAGAGGTCCTTGATGTACTGAATCTACTCTCTTAAAGTGTAGTTGCAGAACTAATGGGGTGAGAGGTAGAATGGTATATTAGACAGAATACTGAGGAACTTAGAGCCAGGAGCCCTGGGTTTGAATCATGCCTTAAGATGCTTAGCTGTGTGACTCTGGGTAAGTAACTTTACCTTTCAGTAGAGCCTCAGTTCCCTCATCTGTAAAATGGAGATAATATCACTCACTGTACTACCTCCTTCACAGGATTGTTGTGAGGAATGCACTCTGTAATCTTAAAGCACCATACAAATGTGAGCGGTGCTTACTGAGAATCCTTGAAATGCTACTCCTAATACAAGGATTTAGAAATGCATGAGACTCCAGCTCTTAACATTTTTTTCTTCTTTGCTTTTCTATGTAGCAGTTTTCAGCAGGTTAATGTATGGATATTGAAGAGAACTCTCAGAAGTCTCTCTTAAATATCAATGTGTCTAGTGCCAATTTTTTATGATCTAAGGTATTGTCTAATTTTTGCATGCATTTAAACGATGAGGCATTATCTCCCCATGATTCTCACTTCAAAATAAATTCAGCAACTCCTCTTTTGCTCCCTCCAGCTCAAACTGCACTTCTCCTTTAGGAACTTCCATTCCTAAAACTTCCAAAGACTGATCAGTAAGGTCCCGTAAGCTCTGAAGTTTGTAAGGGTAGATTAAGAACTGTTTTGGACATTATCTATTGCTCCTTATTTGCATAATACCTTTGAAACGGCCAAAGGCAATAATGCGGTAGGTAGGTCAAGTCTTTTTTATGTAAATCGTTTGTCTGATAAATGAGTATGCAAAGACTGGTAAAAAGATCACATAGATAGACAGACAGATAGATAGCCACAGGTGATTAGTAACCTAAATACCTGAGGAAGTACAGTATATACAAAAGGATACTGATTGTTAAAGAGGAAAAAAAAATAGAGACATATTCAGCAAGGGCAGAGCCTTTCAGTCCTAATAATGAGGTCAGTATTCACTTATCACATCATCACAAACAGCATTAAGGGAAGATCCATGTAGGTAAGAAATTCTTTCTAGCCCCCCACCCCCCAAAGTCAGACACAGTTGTGAAATAGCTTAACTGCCAACAACCATCACTGTGCTTGCTGTACAATAAAGCTGTGCCCAGCAGAAAGTTTTCTGAGGAAAATGAGATGGGAAGCCAACCAAAACAAATGCTGGGAAAGCTCAGCTACTAAAACAAATACACACTGTTAATGTGCACATAGAGCTTAAGTTTAAAGAACTAGACACAAATCTATTAGTGAAAAATTAAATCTAGGTACAAGTAACAACTCTCGTCATAGAAGAAATCATTCAACTGATTTTTCAGACCTTTGATTTTATTGGTATAGGGAACTCTGGATAAAGAAACTACTTCTACCAATGTTGATCTGCAATGCCCTGGGGTTAAGTGAGGTGAAGTGACTTGCTCAGATTCACATAGCCTGACCAGCCAGAGGCCAGAGTTGAACCCGGGTCACCTAGCTTCAGAGGCCACCTATCTATCCACTTAACCTTGCCTTTGCAAACTGCCTTCTTATGCTCTATCAGTTCTTTTATTTTAATACTTTTATTTCACTAAACAGCACCTGAAGAGGCAAGGTTACCCTTTGAGAGAAGGGAGAACCTCAAGATACTCAGGTGGCCACTGATGTTAGTTCTAGACGCTTTCACCACCAAGATACAGGGTTAAATGAAAACTAATTTAAGATTTGAAGAGGTACCAAGATGGTGGATTCCACCAACTGGAAATTATTTTTAACGTATAAGAAACAAAAGTTGTGATTATTAAATCTTTAATAGTTTAAAACTTCACTAAGACTTTTGGGATTACCGAGTATTTTACCTTAATTGGCCATTAAAGGGCACAGTTCAACTATGTTTAGTTTAGTTTGGTAAAAAGTGAAAAAAAAAATCCCAGAATTTCAGAGTTGGAAGGATCCTTGGACTCCATGTAATCCAACTCACACCCCTAACAAGAATCCCCTGTATGATCTGTCTCCCGTGAGGAAGAAGCCTTCTAAATCTGACTCCCTGTAACTGTTAGGAAGTTTGCCTCTTCGTAGCCTTTCCCATCGATCCTAGTTCTCGTCCTCCGAGTTCAAAATGAACTAGCCTAGCCTAATCCTGCTTCCTCTGGACAGTCTTTCAAATACTTGACAAAAGCTATCCTATCTACTCCCTGAGAATGAGAATGTGTTAGAAATGACAGTCCTTCAAGTGAAGGGGAGGAAGAGAGGTGAAGAGGAATATAAGAGGTTTTTCTGGCATTGGTTGAGAGCATGAATGGGGTTGGCAACCTTCACGTTCTCCAATAACTTTTAAGATTCTATGACTTCATTAACAACAGGTCGGGTGTGGATATGAGTTTGAAAGCCCGGGACAGGGGCCGGGCTTCTGCTGGGCCAGCCACACAGCACCCACACTACAAAAATAAACAGTTGTGATCAGCGCTCTAGTGCCCCCTTTACAAGCCCCGATAAAAGGTACCAAACTGGAGTCAGGTGGTCAGCAGCCTGAACAACCTGCCATACAAGGGCAGCTTATTTTCGCCTGTAGGAGGTAGAGAAGAAAGAGGGGGACGGGGCTGGCTGAATGGGGACCCACTCCTTCCCCAGCTCAACAGCCGACTCTGAAAAGGAAGAAGGATAGCACTTCTTACCATCTTCAAACGGGGTCCCCTCGGGCCTGCAAGAGAGGGAGAAGCGAGGCGAAGTCAGTGCTCCTGGCAGGGCACGCGGCTGCTTTCGCCCCTTGGCCGAGAAGGCCCCGCTGGCATCGCCGGGCGCGGGCCTCCCGCCCAGTGCGCGCCCCTCCTGCTTCCTTTCCAGCCCCGCAGGCAGCGGTACTCCGAGCAGCGAGTACTCCAGCCCCCGGCGCACCCAGGGCGGGCGGGCGGCCCAGTCCCGTCCCGCTCCAGCCAGTTTCCCGGGGTCCCCTCCTCCTCCCCCGCCTCCCGCTCGCCCGTGCGCGCGCCCGCCCGCCTCAGGGCTCCCCCGGCGGACTCACCCGAAAATGACTGCGTTCCACACCATAATGTTGTTCTCCGACGGGGCTCCGCTGACCCCGGCAGGAGGGTCCTCTTGCAGCCTGCGGAGGGAGCGCAAGTGGAGCTCAGCCCTGCCCTTCCCGGCCTGGCCCGGCCTGGCCCGGCCCTGCCCGGCCCTGCCCGGCCCGGCCCGACCCGACCCCGGCCCGGTCCGGCTCGTGCCCCCGGCTGGGACCCCGCCCCGCGACCCGCGCCCCGCGCCCCGCGCCCCCCGACCAGCCTCCGCTGCCCCTCCTTACCTCTTGAAGTCCCGCATGAGGCGCCGCCGAGCCGGGGTGGACATGTCGCGGACTGCTGCGGGCTCAGGGGTGGGGCATAGACCAGCGGCTGGGCAGCAGGAGGAGGAGGTGGAGGAGGATGAGGCGGCGGCTAGAGGAGGAGGGGCAGGGGGAGGAGGGGGAGGTGGATGAGGACCAAATAGAGACGCAGCCGGCGCAGAGTCGGACTCCGACTAGAACGCTGGAGCCCCGGGCCCAGAGCAGGGAGGGCCGATACCAACCTGAGTGGCCCCAGAGGGGAGACAGAGGAGGAGGAGGCTGCACCACTGCTGAGGCGCGGGGGAGGACGGGTGGAAGGCGGTGACAAGAGCTGCGCGAAGTCACCAGAAGGGGGGGATGAGCAAGCTCACAAGAGCAATAATTAACAGTGCAACTCCAGGGAGGGAAGGAGGGGCAATATTGGGTGCTTTTATGGAAGGACGTTTTTAGTCCTATACCAATCCCCCACCCCCCCCCGCCGCTGCCTCCAACCTCCTGCTCTAGGGCGCTCCCACAGAAAGACTGGGGCTGTACCATTCAGCGAAAGGCGTTCTCAGGGGGGAACAAGCCACCCCTCCAGCCAAGCCTGGAGCGGGGCCGGGGAAGAGTAGGGCTCCAGCTCTACTTACACCCACGAGATAAGGCAGTGAGATCCTGGAGGAGGGTTGTACCATTGACATCAAAGGGGACCGAAAGAAAGGAGCGAACTCTGCGAGAGAGTTCGAGGCAATCTACTGACCTGGAGGGGCGGGGTGGGGGAGGCCCGGGGGAGTGAAAGTATCGGGAGTCAAGGTGGGCGACCCCCTGAGATATAGAAGGAGAGGAGACGGAAATGGAGCCAGCATCTACTCTGTCCCAACCCCGTAACTCTCTGCAGCCACGTTTACAAACACCAGTAACCAGGAGAACCATCCTAGGCCCACGGACTCAATAACAGAGTAGATATGTCTTGTCCAGGAACCGGAGGGATGCCTGGAGAGCAGCAGGCGGGAGAGAGGCTAGCAATTATGGGAAAGAATTGTTTACAAAGCATACCAAAGGAGCTTCTACCACCCCCTCCCTTTTGTAGTTTATTATTTTTATTTTCAAATAACAAGTTTTTTTTTGAAGTATTCTGTACTTCCCATTACCTCTGCCTCCCATTAGCACATAAAAAAACTCGAAAAACCATCTCTCAATAGATAGCTACATAAACTAGCAAAAACAAATTCCTACATTAGCCAAGTCCAAAAAAAAAAAAAAAAAGTCTCCGCATTTCAAGTTCATCACCTCTCTGGAAGTGAATGGCTCATTTCAGCTTTCTTTTTTTTTGGTGTCGTGATTTGTCATTTGGTCGATCAGAGTTCTAAAGTCTTTCAAAGCTGTTTCTGTCTATAATGCTATTGGATAAATTGTTATAGTTCTACTCTGAAACTGGCTATTTCTTAACTTCTCGTGACACAGTAACATTCCATCATATACATGTATCACAATTTGTTTAGCCATTCTCCAATAGGAGGATACCCCCTTAGTTTCCCATTTTTTGGCTACCACATGAAGAGCTGCTAAAAATATTTTTTTGTACATATAGACACTTGGAATTCTTCAATTTCTTTGGGGTATAGGCTTAGCAGCAGAATCGCTGGGTCAAAGGGTGTGCACAATTTGGCAACCCTCTGGGCTTTTCCAAATTGCTTTTCAGAATGGCTAGAGCGATTCACAGTTCCACCAACAGTGCATTAGTGTACCTGTTTTCCCATATCCCCTCTAGCATTTGTCATTTTCCTCTTTGGTCATCTTTTCAAGGTGGAGCCTCAAAGTTGCTTTAATTTGTATATCTCTAATTATCAGTGATTTAGAGCATTTTTTCATGTGGCTGTGGATAGCTTGATTTTCTTCCTCTGAAAACTGTCAGTTCATCTCCTTTGACCATTTTTATCTATTGAGGAATGGCCCTTTATCTTACAAATTTGAATCAACAACTAAAAGGAGATTTTAAGCGAAAGTAAAACAAGGGATGAGTTACCCATTAAAAAAGAAGCTGACCAAGCAGAGAGGTAACAATCAATTACACCAAGTAATTAGCATTTCTAAGGAACTTTCTGGTTTGCCAAGAGTTCTGCACCCCGTTCCCGTTTGATCAAACTATCAATAAACATTTACTAGATGCTAATTAGACTCCGAGATTCAAAGAGAAAAGTGAAACAATGTCTGCCCTCAAGGGGCTTACATTCTAATGATCCTAGGTAAGTGCTAATATTATGGCCATTTTACAAATGGAAAAAATTTAAATGATTTACTCAGAGTCACACAGCTCCCCAGGGAGCCATCCCTTCTTGCAAAGAATTTAAAAGAAAGAACGTAAAAAACAAAAAACAAAAACAAAAACAAAAAAAACAAAAAACAGGTCAGCCAAACTAACCTACACTGGCTACGAAGTAACTTTTCTCTTCTGATAAATTACTTTTTTTCTGGAGAATTTGACAGAAATAAGGATAGGATGTACTAACCTCCCTTCCTTGTAGGCGTGGGACATTGTACATACCTTTAACCTTAGTTTTGACAAAGTACATTTTTGTATTCTTTGTAACTAAGGATGGCAAGCTCTCTGGGCTGGGAGGGGGAATGGAATGTTAGGAAATGAAGGTGATACAAGAAGAACAGCTGTCAGCAAATATTTTTTTTTTAAAAAGTCCTCTACACTCATTATCCCTTCAGCTTCACCCCCCAACCTCCTGAAATCTGGCTTCTATCTCCACCTATCCAGATCCTTTCTATTGAAATTGCTCTTTCTTTTAAATGTGGGGAGGCTTGTATGAACTGATGCAGATGGAAATGTGGCCAAACCAGTAAAAGAACATAAGCAGAGATTAAGGTAAATTATATATTATAAATAATTAAACAAAACCAGCAAAGCCAAAGACTGAGTGATTGAGATGACCAGTCTTGGCCCTGAAAATGAGGTGAAGAAACCCCACTCTCCATTCAGTAGAAGGGGAGGTTGGGGAGTGGGGTTCCCTTGCATGGGATGCTGCATATGCTGTCAAACATAGTCACCATGCTGGTTGGTTTTGCTTCAAAGTTTTAATATTTTTCTTGGCCACATCACTAATTTGATGATGGAATGAGTGGGTATATACTGAAATGACTGTAATGCAAAAAGAAAAGGCATTAATAAAATGAAATTTGGGGGTTTTTTTTTGGTAATATAATGAAATTTTAAAAAATAAAATAAAACTAATTTCTTCTCAAAGTTCACTGACCAGTTGCCAAAACCATTGGCTTTTACTCAGTCTTTGTTGTCTTAACCCCTCTGCATTTGACACTGTTCACCACTTCCCTTTTCAGCATGGATCCTAGATTTAGAGCTGAAAGGGCCTTCAAAGGTCATCTAGTCCAACCCCCTCATTTTACATAAGAGGAAACTGAGGCCCAGGGAGAGGAAGTCAGTAAGTGGTAGAACCAAGATTCAAACTGAGGCCCTTTGACTCCAAATTCAACCTTCTCTCCACTACGCCTCACTGGCCCAACTAAACAAATATCAAGCATTTACTATGTACTAAGGAACATGGCTTATACAGGGTATGAAGGTAAGTCGTTTGTAGGGAATGATAAGGGAGATTAGCCTGAGTGGAACAGTAGAACTTCCCTGGGGAGAAATGAGAGCTGGACTTGGCAAGGTGCCTGGGGGTGGAGTAGGGATGGGGAGTTGGGGGGGGGGGTGGCCATACTTGATAATAGGCCTTAGAATGCTAGGCTGGGAATTTTCTATCTGGTAGGGAGCCATTGCAGGTCCTTGGACAAGGGTGAGTGTCCTGACAAAAATAGGTTTTTGAGGATTGACTGGAGGAGGGGGTGGCACAGAAAAGACAGGGAGGCCTAGCTCCTGGTTAATAAGCCTAGCCCCTAGCCACCAATGACTATGAGATGATACAGAGTGATCTGCATGTTTCATGTTTCTGATATTTCACTTTTATCTTTGTATTCCAAGCACCCAGCACAGTGTCTGGTACATAGTAAGTGCTTAATAAATGCTGATCGATTGATTGATGGGCTTGCCTCTCTTTCATGTGGCATTTTTCCTTCCTCCCTTGGACAACCTGACAAAAAAACAACTCAGAGACATTGGCTGAAGTTGTTCCCAAAGCCTCTGTGTGTGGCCTGCCTGTGTGTGGCCAGGAGAGCCGGATTACAGAAAGGGACTGTGTCTCAGGAAGACTGTGCCCCCACGCTCCTCCCCAGAAGCAGGGTTGCCATAGTGAATGGGCCCATGGCAGAACTCTCTCAAGCAGACAATCACCAGGCGGGTACAGTCTAACTATAGCTCTGTTGGCTGCAAAACCCCTACCACCCCCATCCCACCTTGACATCTCTGTGCCCATCTAAACAGTTTCTTGTGGGTGCCCCCTCTAGAGAGAGGGGGCCAGGGAATGATATCATTTTCCATTCTAAAAGCATCCCCGTCATTTCCTCTGTAGCTTCCAACAGGCCCCTGGCAGACACCCAGGCCCGACCGGATTCCAAATCATCTTTCAGTCCCCAACATTAAGCTTCTCTGAAGGGCCTTTCTCGGGTTTAGAGTAAATGCTCAGGCCAAGATGTGAGATTTAGTTTTGTCCTAAGCCTTCCACTCAAACCTGACCTGAACACAAAAGTGAGGGTTTTGAACTATGGGAGTATATAACTGTGGGAGGCTGTGGAATCTCTGTCCATAAGAATCTTAAATTCAGGATAGTGTCTAATCTTCACTGTGTTTGGTACATAGTAGGTGCTTAATAAGTATCAGATTGATTCCTGGATGACATTAGGTAGCAGAGAGTACTGAATGATCTTGGAATATTATCCCTAGTGCCCTCTAAGCCTATGATTTTGTGAGGCTATAGGCTAGGAATTCACCAATCCCATTATTCAACCCCCCTTCACTGAAATGGATGTGCAGGAAACTCACCGACCATTTAGATCTTTAGAACATGTGTACAGAAGACAGGATCAAGGACAGAAAACAGATGAATCCAGGAGTGTGTCATAGCCCTGTTAAAAATATCAGTAGCAAACAACTTTGAAAGACTTAGGAAATCTGATTAATACAATGATCAACTACAATTCCAGAAGGCTTATGATGAAGCATTTGACAGAGAGAGAGAGAGAGAGAGAGAGAGAGAGAGAGAGAGAGAGAGAGA